CCGGCCCCTAAGCTTGTTTATTTATTTATTTATTTATTTCGTTTTTGTCTTTTTTTTACTGACTGGTAACGGGATCGCAACCCTCGGTGTTGCGCCCGCACCGCTCTCAGCCAGTGAGCGGGAACCGGTCTCCACATGGGATCCGAACCCTCGGCGGGAGCGCCGCCATGCTCCCAAGCGGCACACTCTCCAGTGCGCCACCGGGCCAGCCCAGGAGTCAGTGAATTTAAAGATGAATAGAAATTATTCAATATGAAGAACAAAGAGAAAAGTAATTGAACAAAAACAAAAATAAACAGAGTCTGTCAGAAGTGGGATATGAATAATGGTAGTTTCCTTCATGTTTATAAATTGATGTTATAGTTTTAGATTTTCTTTCTTTTGGTGGCAGCTGGCTGGTAGCAGTATTCAAATCCTTGACTTTGGTGTTACCAACACCATGCTCTAACCAACTGAGCTAACTGACTAGCCCTTGGTACTCTTAAGATGACAATGTAAATTAAAAAACTCAACACGATATGGAGCAGGTTGAAGAAATGCCTACCAACTTGAAGGTTTTTAGTTTTTATTGAATCCTCCAACCTTTCTGAGAATCTGTTGAACGCTTTTCCAAATAAATGTGTATTTGCTGTACACAATTTTGCCTACAATTTCTGGGGGGCGGGGAGGAGGTTCTTGGAGCTCCACTGAAGCCCATTCAACTAATCTACAAATTAATAATGATGGCCCTTAAGAGATGGAACCTGACTGAAGGTGTCCGAACGTCTAAAAAGAGGCCACGTCAATCTGGAAAGGGCTGGTCAGACGTGGAGGAAGAGGATCTGGAGGTCCTGGGGGCCCTTGTGGGCAGCCCCTCAAAGGGCTGTCTGAGGGCCCTGGCTCCAGGACTGCAGAGTGGCTACCCTGGGCCCACATTCCCTTTGGGTTGGAGTTGGGCAGGTCCTGGGAAAGAAGCACTGGCTCTCCTGTTGGCTACCAACCTTCTCCTCACTAATTTGTATTAGCTCCCTGGTTCTCTAGGAATTTGAATTTTCTCCTCCTATTTACACCCCGCTGAAATGATCTTACCCAGGGCCCTGGCTTTCTTTCCCATCCATCCCCTGGTGTCAATCAATTCCATATCTCCAGGCTAATGGTCAATGATGCCAGGAACTATTCTAGATGCTTTATATGTTCTAACAACCTTAAGAGAAAAGTAGGCACTATTATCTTCCCTCTTTTACAGATGGGGGGACTGAGGCACTGCAGGTCAGTAGATTTCCTTAAGATCACACAGTAAGTGGCAGAGGTAGACTCCAAACCCAGGCAGCCTGGCTATAGAGCCCACATCTTAAACCCTATGTCACACTACCTGCTTGACTCTCCTTGGATGTCTGGGAGGCATCTCAAACTCAATATGTACAGAATGACTTACTCCTGCCCCTGCTGGAACACTCTTTATGTTCCTCCCCACCCCATCAGCCGAATCCTGTTGCCTCTGCCCCCCAAACACATTCTGAATCACTTCATTTCATTCCATCTTCTGTATCCCCAGCCTGGACCTTTCTGCCTGAGACTCCCCCATCTTCTCTTACAGGTCTCAGCTCAAATGCCTCCTCCTCAGAGATGTCTTCCCCGACCACCCTTCTTACTACATCACAATTTCTTCTTGCCAGCATTTACTGTAAATCTCAGGGTGTCTGAAACTCAGCATTATTGACATTTTGGGCTGGATAATTCATTGTTTGGGGGGTGAGGAAGAGGGGCCATCCTGTGCATTGTAGGATGTTGAACAGCTCCCTGGAATCTACCCACTAGATGCCAGTACACCTCCCCCCACCTCAAGCTGTGACAACTAAAAATGTCTGTGGACATTGCTACATATCCCCTGGGGGACAAAATCATCTCTAGTTGAGAATAAATGCATTATTTCAAATAATCTTCACTCCTGTGTTGGCTGTCTTATTTTGTCTCCCCTCCTTCCTCTAGGATATGCTCAGACAACAGCAAGGACAAGAGCTAGACCTGGGCTTTTTTGGTGAGTACATTGCTGGGTTTGGGATGGTGCAGCTTATTGGCGCTGGTGCTATTTACTGAAGTGGGGAGAAGGGGGTGTGGGGAGGGAGCAGACATGGGCAGGGCAAAGAATCAAGGGTCTGAATGTCCTGTTGGACTTCAAGTGGGGAAGCCAAGTGGGCAGTTGGATGTATCTGGAGCTCAGGGAAGGGGTCGGGGCTAGAGACATTGTAGTCTGAATCCTCAGTATACAGAATGAATGTGAGGAGCCAGGCCTCAGTCATTCTGGCTCCCCCCCCCCCCCCNGGGCCCCCCCCCCCCCCCATTTCTCCATATTGTCCCAGTCCCGTTTTATTTCTTAGCCTAAATAGTCATTAACTTGAGCCTTAATTTGAATTCTCCCCTTTGCTAAATGGTGAAAACACTTTATAATCTACCTGTGGGACAAATGTGTCCCCCAAAAGTTCATGTACTGGAAACTTGATCACCATTGTAAGAGCATTAAGTGGGTAGGAATTTTTTTTTTTTTTTTTAAAGACGACCGACTGGCAAGGTAGGGGGATTTTAACCCTTGACTTGGTGTTGTCAGCACCACTCTCTCCCAAGTGAGCCACGAGCCGGCCCAGAGGGTGGGAAATCTTGATTATGGTATTTGAAAGGTGGGCCTTTAAGAGGTGATTAGATTGTTAGGACTATGTCCTTGAGTAATGGGAGTGGTTCTGGTGGCTTTATAAGGAGAGGAGGAGTCCAGCTTTCTCTCCCTCAGCCCATTCTCACCATGTGACACTGTGGTCTCCATGGTACTCTGTAGAGTTCCAATGGAGAAGGCCACCAGATGTGTTTGCTGGACCTTGGACTTGCCAGCCTCCAAAAATGTAAGAAATAAATTTCATTCTTTATAAATTACCCAGTTTCAGGTATTCTGTTATAAGCAACACAAATGGACTAATATGCAACCAAACACTTAAAATGAATCCTGTCTGGTCCCCATGCCATCCTCAGTCTGGCGTTGGTTCCATCACCTCCTTGCTAAATTTCCCAGGTCTAGGTTGGAGTTAACAGTGGCCTCCAGACTCCTAGAGCTAACAGCCTAGCCTGGTCTAATGGTTAAGCTCCTGGGACTTTGGCAACTGACACCCACTTCCCCCCAATTTACCTTCTGTGAGTAGTCGTTGCTGATCTTCTTTGCCATCATTTCCTCCTCTATCCAAGGATGCTTCTTCTGGCAGGTTGGTGAGAGGGTGAGATGAGGTGTGCATAGTGGCTGCAGCAAACGCTCAACACCTGATCAGTTTCCAGTCATGGTCCCACCTGACCTCTTTGTGGCTTTAACATGATTTTGTGGGCAGCCAGGGAAGACTTCCCTCGTTTCCAAGTCAGTACTCCCCAAAGGTTTCCACTGCTTATGGTGCCTGTTTCTGGCTTCTCCTGTTGATCCTCCCACCTCTAAATGGTGCTCCCCCAGGGTCCTTGGGTGGTTTTCTCTTCTCAGTACTGATCCTTCCATCCTTGTAACTACTTTGTTTTCAACTTTTAGATCTATATGGCTACTATTTAATGAGCAAAAAATGTGCTTTCGGCCTTTCTTATACTGTAGTTCCAACCACAAAATATCCTAAATATACACATGGAAATGTTGAGGGGGAAAAAAAGCCTGGCTGGTTAGTTCAGTTAGTTACAATGATGCCTTAACACCAAAGTGAAGGGTTCAGCTTCTTTCAGATCCCCATAATCAGCCTGCTGCTAAAAAAAAAAAAAGTTGGTGAAATTCCATAATTCACTGTTTGATATGTATCCTCCCAAATTAAATGTAAGAGTGGTCATTATCTGAGGACTATATACATCAGAATTAACATGCTCACTGGTGGGAGCATGCATGTTAATAATGCAGACTCAAGAGTCTACAAGTTTAGGAAACCACATTTTTAAATTGCTGAGATTGACGGGCCGGCCCTGTGGCTCACTTGGGAGAGTGCGGTGCTGAGAACACCAAGGCCACGGGTTCGGATCCTATATAGGGATGGCCGGTTTGCTCACTGGGTGAGCGTGGTGCTGACAACACCAAGTCAAGGGTTAAGATCCCCTTACCGGTCATCTTTTAAAAAAGAAAAAAATAAAAAAAATAAATTGCCGAGATTGAGAACCATTGGCCTAACCATACATAATCCCCCACCCCACAGTATCCACAGGTTTGGCACTGTCCCTATGCTCCATTCATCCCCAAAGCCAGCTTGACCAAGGCCATTTAAAAAGCATATTTGAAAACAGCATTGGGTAGCATGTGCAAAGACAACTCACTTTGGTGAGGTTGTAAATCTGCTTCAAGTACCCATTCACTTAGTGTTTGAGCAACTCCACCTGCTAAATCTGTGCCCAGATATAGTGGTATATGCTGCACCAAGGTGGAAGTTCGGTGCCAATTAAATCATTCATTCAAAAAATGTACAGCAGTAACGCTGCCAGATGTCCTACAAGCTGTAGCTACTTAGGGGGAAATGATAGAAGTCCCAGTGCCCCATGGAATTTACATACTGGTGGTTACTTGTTGCACTAGAATAGCTTAAACTAACAGTGAATAGTCAAGGCAGGCTTCTCAGCAGTTACTTGAGCAGGGCCCTGAATGAGTCACCTACATGAAAAAACAAGAGCAAATGTAGAGATCCAGAGGCTTCTAAGGTGGCTACAGTGAGGAACTGCAAATGAGGTCAAGTTAGGGAAAGCTCAATCAAGCATGAACTTGCAACAAACTAGATAACCACATACTAGCAAATTGGCTATTCATACAGTGCCTTTCTTGTAAAAGGGCAGCTAGATTCCAAAGAAATCATGTCAAGTATTAATGTGTGGGAAAGGGATGATAAAATACAGAAACCAGACACACAGTCAACTTCAGTTAAGGGGTCCTTAACTGCCATGTCTCATGGCTCCTAGGGTTTATTTCCTTGTGCCCAACTAAAGTCACTCACAGGAATGAATAAAGGTTAAAAAACTGCAAAGTCTCACAATAAAGGTTAAAAAGGAAAGCTTTATTAGGAAGACTAAAATGATTGTATATTAACTTAATCAGCTAGGCTGTACCATAAAAGGTTTGAAAATTCCCTTTCTGATGACCTCCAAGAGACTTGGATTCCTGCAAAAGAAGAGAAAAACCTAAGTGTTATTACTGGATGGGAAAGCACAAATGTACATAATGTGAACCACCCACTAAGTGACCTTATGAGTTTACAAGGGGTTATCCTTTAAACCAGTTAACATTAAAGGTCTGCTTCCAGGTATTTTCTGTTCATCATGGTTAACCTACTAAATACTAAACACCAATAAATATTTGCGCAGACACCTACCATTTATATGCACCTTGTTCTTTCCTCAGACCTGGAAAAAACAAACAACTTATGTTTCAATAAGTGATGATTCTCCCCTTTCCTGTGTACAGATAACCTTATGATCCCTCAGACAGTTCCTTCTGGAACAAACTTTCCTCTTCTCCCCCAGCCAGCCCCAGTGGGTTCACCTTTACAGGCTCTGGGACTAGGACAGGAAGTAAGACGTGTGAATGTTTCTTCACTGGGAAATTTTAGCTTAGCCCACCTTACATTTAAGTTTACTAACCTCTGACTTCAGACTGGAGTCGAGCAGAAACACAGCCTCCAGTTTCCCTGCAAAAGAGATCAGAAATTAAGCCTTGCAGCCACCCCTGTTGCTTGGAGAAAAGGCACATCTGTACATGCTAGGTATGTTTCAATGCACATTTTAGAGAAACCACTAGCTAGTCCAAATAAACTTTCCATTGGCTATAAAGCCTACTCAATGAACTTCCTATTGTCAGAAATTGTCATTGCAAGGTAAGCTCACAACTCAGAAAATACCTTTCAGTCACAGTCATCAGACTGGGGCGGTATTCAACTCATCACTGGTGAGCAGGAATTTTATCACTACTGGTTCAGGAATGGCCAAAGGCAGATTTTGAATTAAGTCAATAATGTCTAGCCACCAGACTAAAGTGCCACCAAAGGAAAATTGTAGCAGGATTTATACAGAAGAAATACATGGTAAGTGTTGCAAAATCATTTACCTCAAATTATTCTTGGGCTCCAGATAAGGTGCTGGACCTGGTAACAAACAAGATAGAGTCAGTAATGCTTACATCCTGAATTGTTTTCCTGCCTAAGCCATCATTCCTAGAATATCAGATTCCGAGTCTCAACAGCAAGTCATCAGCCGAACGAGATTCCATGTTAAGTCATCATATACATACAGAGCTAAAAGGGCAGTTTTCCCCACACAATATACTACATGCACTGAACGCATACTGAAATTACTCACCTTTGAACAAGCAGGTTACTGGTAACAGTACCTGGGGAAAAAGAAAAACTATGGATGAAAGTTTCCTTACATATAGTATCCCCCATCCCTGTCTTCTCCAATTTCTCAGGTGTTCACGTGTTTTCATCGTCAGTCATAGTGAGCTAGTTTGATTCATCATAGAAACTGCCTACTTGGTGGAATAAGCCACAAGATAAAAATCAACTAACCTCTTAACTCTGGAGGCTTTTCAGTGGTACACAGAAACAGAAGCTGCTCCTGAATGAGGAAAGTATCCAATTAACAAAGTACTCAAAAGAGCCAAGGCTATTTTAGCTATGGTCGTTAATGGGCAGGCCAAGAAAAGCTAAGCTGTAGGTATGTGCTGTACCTCGGACAGTTCCTTATAGAACCGGTTCTCATCCTTTCCCCCAGTTACCCCAGTGGGTTCACCATTTCTGGCTCTGGGGCTAAAATGGGGGTAAGACAGGATGTTTGCTCCTCACTGGCACTGGACTCTGGCAAGCTACCCAGGAAAGTACTCACCACTTTCAACTCTTTCCACTAGTTTGTCCCCAGGCAGATCTGTGGGAACCTAGGAGGAAAAAAGGGGAGATATCAAGGAACATCCTTACAAGGGACCATAAAGCTTTATGGTTCAATCAGGACTTTGTTGACAAATACCATGACGTTACACTCACCCTTTGGATAATGGGTTCACATACATGATAATTTGTCATAGTATTAGTAGAAGCAACTTACCATAAGATAAAGGAACATGTCATCATCAGGACAACCTGGGAAATGGGAACAAATGATTATTTTAAAGTATTAGGATGGAACAAAATTCCTTCATTAACAACACTGCCATCAGAACTCTAACATGCTATTAACTGTGGTACCTCACAGAGCATCAGTTACTTAATTCAAATCATCTGACAGTGATGTGATGTGGGTGAGCAAAGAGCACACACTCGCAAGAACCAACTGTACTGCTGGGTTGCTCAGTCCCCCAAGTCTTTTCAAGAGGAACAAGATGGAAGGAGCAAAAAGGTAATACTGCTCCATTGACCATTTGCCCTCCTTATTATAATACTTAGGATAATACTGAAGAAATTACATACACCAAGCCCCCACGTGGACAATTACCTGTATTCACCCTGGGAAGCAACTGAATTCCTCAGGATCAGTTATGAGATGCTGGAGGCAGAAAAGGGAGGAATTATATGTACCTAAGAATAGCCATTCAAAGACCCATGAATATCCCTGGTTCACTTCTCAGTAGTAAGATGACATCACCTGTAAGTTCAGCCATATGCTTGTCATTTTACATTCATCATGGAGTGATCATCTAGAAAGTGCCCCCTTCCCATAGTAGCACAAACCATGTATACATACCTGGACTATCACTGTAATGAAGGATGGTGAGAGGCCAGTGATTTGCAAAGACTGGTTCCGAGATGAGAAATCAGGCTTTAAAGGCTTTATCTGTGCAGGCGGCACCATGGAGGATTTGGTGTTTGGTTTAACAAAATCATTGATCTGGCTGGGTGAGCATCCCTGACAAAAGGCAGAGTTGATGGACTTATTAAGAGGTGGGAGTACGGTGGGTAGTTGTGGCCAAGAGATTAGCAAAAAGTTCTTAACATATACAAAAGGGAAAGTGCACCCCCCCGTGGTTAGGAAGATGAGTGAAGAGAGGCCCCTTAAGAATCATGGTGTTTAGTTTAAAGGGGTTGTTTATTATGTCTTTTAATTCAGTTAATCTACCCTGACCATGTAATTCTTTTATGATATCTTGAGTTGTTTTGACTCCCCAAGGGGTATATTGGATTGTTTTGAGTTAGGTTAGTCATAAGTTGTTCCCATTCTTACCATGGGAGGGGTTGGATTTATTCCCAGCTTTGAGATACAAAGCCAGCACAAGGAGTGAAAGTGAACTGTTGTGGCTGTACTGTTAGCAAGCACCCAGGCTGAATTAAATGGGGCATTGTTAGAAAGAGTTAAGAGTGGGTGCTTGATTGAAAAAGAACATAATGAGGACAATTAATCTTCCACTTCCAGCCACTGGGTTACTTGAGTTGGAAAGAAGTCCCTGAAGTCCCCTTGTAGGTGGCAGTCCCAAAGAAAAGACAGGAGTGTGTCCCTGGAGGCTGTGACTTTGGGTGAGTTTGTAAGGAGAGATACAATTAGATCATACAAATCCCCTGGAGCTGACACAGGCATCAGCCAGGGACAGCTCATGGCCAGGCGTATGCTGGCTGGAGTAGGTAGGCTTCTGTGGTTCTGAATTCTGACTCCTCCATGGGTTCATCAGGTATCCTTGTCAGCCTCATAGAGGTGGGTGTGTAAAGCCAGGAACAATATTTCTTGGGAAGTTCTGGGAGCTTTAAATTTAAGTCCGGTACCTTATTTTAACCTGGAAAAATGAACCCAAGCACTTATGCCCAATAATTTTGCCATGGTTGGGGTGGTGAGAAGTACCCGATGTGGGCCTGTCCACTGAAGGTGAAGAGGTTTTGGATTTAACTCCTGGTTCAAAGTTAAGGGAGGGGGAGATTGGAATGGGGTTTTAGTAGGTGGATGGCAGTATACTTTTACAGAAGTAGCTGGGTGTGGTTTAGAGCAGATAGTCTCTCAAGGGGTGAGAGTTAGGAGGGAAGTTACCCAACAAAAAAAGTCTTCCATACATGAGCTCAAAGGGACTAAGTTGGGGTGCCCTTGGGGTTATGTGCATTCACATAAGAGCTACTGGGAGTAGTTCCGGCCATGGCATGTGTAATTGTAGCATTAATTTGGTAAGGTGGTTTTTATAATAGAATTTGCCTTTCAACCTTTCCCAAGGATTGGGGCCTGTACGGAATATGTAATTTCTAGAGATGTTTAAAGTCTGTGAAATTCCTTAGGTGATCTGTGAAAAGAAAGCTGGACCATTACCAGACTGGACTGAGGTGGGGAGACTGAACCGAGGAATTATGTGTTGGAGCAGGACTGTGATGACAGATAGTGCCTTTTCTGAAGTGCTAGGCAAGCTTCTGCCATCCAGTGAAAATGTCTACCAATGTAATAAGATATTTTTGTCGTTTCACAGGAAGCATGTGGGTCAAGTCTACTTGCCAGTCTTGTCCAAGAACCGGACCTCTAGCTTGACGGGCAGGGAAAGGAATTGTAAGTGGCCTTGTGGGAAAAGTACAGAGGCAAATATTAAGCTTTGGTTATTAGTTGAAGGGCTTGATGAAGATGAGGGTATTCTATTTGAGACAGAAGTTTAAAGAAAGGTTTATATCCTACATGAAAATGGTTATGAAGTTGTGTTAGGATATTGTATGCCTCTCCAGCCTGAAGGACTATTTTACCTTTAAGAATGTGCCATCTTTATTTGAATTATCATCCCTATTGTGTGAGGGATCTATGTTCCTTGGTTGAGTAGGGTGGTGGCTACACAGGCAGAGCCAACATTTGGTGTTGGACCTCTGTGAGTGCCTCTTTTTTGGCTTCAACATCTGCTCGTTTATTACCCGCAGCTACTGGGTCTTGAGTTTTTTTGGTGTCCTCTGCAGTGAAGGATGTCTGCGTGGGTAGGCACTTGGGTTGCCTGCAAGTTTTAGGATTAAAGGACCATTAATTATATATGTTCTCTTCATTGTTAGGAAACCTCTTTCTCTCCAAATTGGTGCATGAGAATTAATTATGTGATAGGTGTATTTTGAGTTTGTGGGTGTTTAAGTTTGTTGGCCAGTGTCAGGGCTCTGGTGAGGGCTGTTTAAGTTCTGCCTGTTGTGAGATTGTGTTGGGTGGCAGGAGGTTGGATTCAGTTATCTGAGTTAACAAAACAATTGCATAGCCTACTGTGTTATCCCCTGGTTAAAAGAGCTTCCATCTATGAACCAGTCCGTTGTGGGGGGTGGTAACAGGGTGTCTGAAATATTTGGAAAGGGGTTAGTAAAGTGGCCCAGTATTTCCCTGCAATTATGTTCATCCATTGTGGGTTGGGAAGGTGCAGGCAAGAGTAGCTGGGTTAAGTGAGGGGCAATGGATGAAAGTTACATTGGGATTTTCAAAAACCAAGGCATGAATGACCTGAAGTCTGATGGCTGAAATCTGGTGTGTGGCCTGGTGGATAGGAAGTGAAGAAAGTGAATGGGCACAAGGTACTGTTATTTCTTGGAAGACAGTTAACTTTGAGCTCTCTTGTATTAGTATAGTGACTGCAGCCAAAGCCTGTAGGCAAGGTGGCCAGCTGAGAACTGTTTTATCTAGCTGTTTGGACAAATAAGCCACTGGCCTGAAGTCGGGCCCATACTGTTGAGCCAATAATCCCAGTGTAAATCCCTGTCTGCTGTCTACATATACAGGGAAGACTTTGTTTGGGATAGGGAGTGCCAACACTGGGGAAGAGGTGAGAGCTTGTTTTAGGAGTGAAAAGGGAGTAGACACAGGGAGATTAGGATTTAAGAGCTTATGGAGAAACTAAGCTCTTACACCACAGACTCTACAAAGTATGTTAAAGAGTTTCAATAATTCAATATTTAACACACACCTATAATCTAAAATGGCATGATGTGTATATCATGTCCTCACCCCAAATCAGTGACTGGTGGTAGATGGGCAGCAAGCAATGGAAAGGTCAAATTCCTATGGATTTCTCATCTCAACCCCCAGGTTTAAGCACCAAAAATATGAAAGGTCAGCGATTAGCAAAGCTGGTACCAAGACGAGAAATCAGGCCTTAAAGGCTTTATTTGTGCAGGCAGCACCAAGGAGGCATAGGTACAGCCTACCTGCCGTTTTGGGGGCAGCGTTTTTAAGTTATTTCTAGGGCCAAGTTGGTTTAACAGTCACGAGACTTGTGGTTTCTCTTGCAAAGTCCCGTGGCCTAGTACCTGTTGCAACCCCCCAGTGGTTTTCCAGCAAATACTCGCCCAGTGATTTTTCCATTGGGCTGAACTTCCTCCGGGTTAGACCCTACTTGTTTCAAGCACGAACGACCCCATCTTGGGAACCTACCTGTAGAACTAGTAATGGATATTGTCCCGAACCAGTAAGCTCCTTTGAGCTGCACCACATCTAAAAAAGAACCCTTAACACTCCAGAAATGAAAGCAAAAAACCTCATTTGCTGCGGATGGTGCTACTCAGAATTTCCGTTTTCTCCACTACTCCATCAGAAAGAGAGAGTTCAATTCTTAAAATCATCCCAGTAGCACAATTCGTAAGACCTTCACACACTTAAAACAGAGCTAAGAAATAGCTATAAGCACTTACTCCAATGAGATGCTCTTCCATTCTTCAGTGTTCAAACGTGCGCCTCAACCCTGCAGACAACAACGTTAGGTTAGCACTGGGTATTTCGAAAGCGCTTTGGTTTTCTGGAGCGACTGCTGAGTCGGAAATCGGCCGTGCAGGGCCCGTCTCCTCAGAGTTACTTATCCTCACGGAGCTCAGTACAGGTCTGTGAAAGGTCCTCATCACAGGAGAGCCACCGGCACCGCCCGCCATCGCCATTTTGTCCTTCACAAAAGCCTCGCTGCTGCCTCGGGGCCACGAGGCCACGGATGAAACCGCCCCCGCCCCCACCTCCCCACGCCCTGACTACCAAATAGGCACTACACATTAAGTCTAACGTATGCCACGCTCGAGCAACCACTTGAAAAACACACGCCAAATACCTACAAGCAGTGCCCGACGAATGAGACCTAAGAAGGTACCGCGAGACGCTTAAATACTACCCCGCAGAGGCCCACGGGATTTGGGGGCAGGACTATAGTGGGCGCACGCGCACATGGAGACGGCGCGCGAGCCCGGGGAGTTGTGGGTAGAGGAAAGTACGCGCCCCCTGAACTTGCGCGAAAACGTCGCGCATGCGCCCTAGGGGAGCGCTCGAGCGCTCTGTCAGCACTGCGGCTTGGCTGCTCTCGGCAGCTCAGCGTGTGACAGGAGCCCGGAAGCCCCGGCTTCGCGCCGATCCTGGACTCACTGTCCGTCACGGTCACGGCCTCTTATCTCCACACCCTGCCCTGAGCCCCGCCTGCCCCCACACACCCTAAACTCATGTGCAGGATCCGCCTCCATGGATCCCAAACCTGAGCCCTCGACAGGCGTCATGTCGGTGCCGCGCCAGTCGCCCAGTGCACATCCGGGGCCCGGTGTCCAGAGTCTCAGCGCAGCGGGCGACTCAGGTACTGGACCCCGGGCTGAGCTCAGGTGGAGGGCCCTTGCATGGAGCCATATCTGGAGAGTAAGCCAGGTCGTAAGTGCTGCACTTGATTCATGAGATAGGGTCTGATTTTTCCTGGCTGGCCACCTGTGTCTTGCATTCCGGTCCGATTTCGTTAGGAGCTTGGCCTGTATTGGGACTAACATTAGCTAACATATTTACGGAGCACCGTTTTAAGCACACTGTATGAATTGGTTACTTTAATCCTCCAAAATCCCAAGGTACGTAGGATCACAACCCCTATTTTCTAGATGAGGGACATTATGTAAAGAGCTCCTGCAGAGCTGCCTGATTGTCGAGCTGGCTGCAGTCAGCTATAGCCTGTGTTGTTATTGAGTCCAACCAGCATTAGTTCGTCAGTCGTTTGTGGTAAACACCTAAGTGTACAAGCATGCTTTGAAACCATTAAGCTCTTACTATGTGCTCTTCTGGGTTTTTTTTTTTTTTTTTTTTAAGATGACCGGTAAGGGGATCTCAACCCTTGGCTTGGTGTTGTCAACACCACGCCCAGCCAGTGAGCTAACCGGATCCCATAGGATCCGAACCCCTGGCCTTGGTGTTATCAGCACCGCACTCTCCCGAGTGAGCCACGGGCCAGCCCTATGTGCTCTTCTGTTTGACCTCACTTAATAACACAACAATCCTCGGAGGAACGTGTTAAGGTAATGCTGTATATAAGGAACCTGAGACCTAGATAGCTTAAGTAACTTGCTGAGTTATCCAGCTAAGAAATATCAGAGCCAAGGTGTGCAAATCCAGGCAGTCTGATTCCAGAGCCTGCACAAATCCAGGCAGTCTGATTCCAGAGCCTGCACTGCTAACACTATGCCTTACTGCTTTTACATCATACAGTTCTGTTCTCAGCATAGTTGGGGGCAAGCAAATACACTGGGAAAAAATGGAATAAACTTTGGGCACTGTTTCTCAATCTTATTTTTATTGTTACCCCACCCAATCTAAAAAAGACCATTCTAAAAGACCCATTCTAAAGCTGGCTGGTTAGCTCAGTTGGTTAAAGCATGTTGCTGATAGCGCAAAGGTCTGGGGTTTGATCCCTGTACCAGCCAACAATAACAACAACAAAGAGATATTTTTTTCCCCCTAAATTACCCCCATGAAAATTTGATACCACAGATATACTGTATATCTGTATATGTATTATGGCCGTTTGGAAAGCCAGAAACCTTTTTAATATCTGAGATTTCTCATCCCCTATGAACCAATTTTCACTCCTGTGAGGGAGTTGCATTGTTTCCATGCATGCTGCAGGGACATAATAAGTGGCACTGTACACAAATACTGAGAGAATTCCAGTTTGAACAAAGTTTTTATGTACGAGAATAAATTCATTTATTCAGTAACTATTAAGTGCTTGTTCTGTGCATGATACAACATATGGGGGGAAAGGAGATAAAACACTCTGACCTGAAGATTTTGATCTTGTTAGGGGTAATTAAGATGTGCATACAAATAGTACATGATTGAAAAGTTGTAATAAAAAAACAAACAAAGAAAAGTTGTGTAGAAAATGGCCCAGATAGGGGCCAGCTCGTGGCTCACTTGGGAGAGTGTGGTGCTGATAACACCAAGGCCATGGGTTCGGATCCCTATATAGGGATGGCTGGTTAGCTCACTTGGGAGAGCGTGGTGCTGACCACACCAAGTCAAGGGTTAAGATCCCCTTACCGGTCATCTTTTTTAAAAAAAAGAAAAAAGAAAAAGAAAATGAACCAGATAAACTACAGAAAGTAAAAAAGGTTCATAGTAGGCAGACAAAGCTGGGAAGGTTGTGTGTGGGAATGGGAATTGGGAAAATGGTTTATAGAGTATTTGGACCTGGAAGAGTAGATAAACAGACCGGGTAGGAAATTCCAATTAAATAAACAATTTGAGTGCAGGCTTGATGCTAGAAAAGGAAGGAAGTATATGGATATAATTCATGAAAGACAGGCTAAAAGGGAGTAGTAGAATATAAAACTGGAAAAAATGTCCTGGGAAAGACCAGATGAAGAGGCCCTGAGTGCAAAGCTAAATCATTTGAATTATAAATAATGAGAAAGAAGTCAGTGAAATTTTTTGAGCAGGGAGGTAAGAAATTGGAGGACAAGGACATTAATTAGATTGTCACAGTAGTTTAGGCAAGAGGTAAGTAGATTCTATACTAACAAGTGTAATGGCAGTGGAAATGCCAGGGGGCTCCTACTCATGTACCTACAGAAATTAGGCAAGTTGGGCCGGCCCGTGGCTCACTCGGTAGAGTGCGGTGCTGGTAGCACCAAGGTCACGGGTTCGGATCCTATATAGGGATGGCCGGTTTGCTCACTGGCTGAGCATGGTGCTGACAACACCAAGCCAAGGGTTGAGATCCCCTTACCGGTCATCTTTTTTAAAAAAAAAAAAAAAGAAATTAGGCAAGTAATATAATGAAATGAAGTGAGTAGGGACTCTGGCAAACTGGGCAGCCCTTTCTCAGCTACAGCTGATTGTTGCCTTGCTAGAATATTGTCTCTGCTTAATCAGATGGTCAGAGTTTTCAAGAGAATCGAGGAATCCAGAATTGTATATTAATTTATCCATTTGATTTGATTTATATTTTGTTTTTGGCGGCTGGCTGGTACCAGCATCTGAACCAATGACTTTAGTGTTACCCATTTAAAAATGTTGACATCTAACAACATTTTTAAGTGTATTCTATGAACTAATCAAAATATACCTGTGGGCCAAATGTGGCCCATGATTGTGAGTTTGCAACCTCTTGAGTAGTGACATAGAATCTACTAGAAAGGGGGCATTTCAAAAAAGTGATGCCCTTTTTGGAAGCTATAGAGGGGTTAGAGGATAAGCACTGAAAAAAGCCCTGTTCTTAGTAATTTGAGATCATAGGTGACTTTCATTCAACATTTACTCTACCAATATATATATATATATTTTTAAAAAGATGACCGGTAAGGGGATCTTAACCCTTGACTGGGTGTTGTCAGCACCACGCTCACCCAGTGAGCTAACCGGCCATCCCTATATGGGATCCGAACCCGTGGCCTTGGTGTTATCAGCACCACACTCTTCCGAGTGAGCCACGGGCCGGCCCTACTCTACCAATATTAATTTGTTAGGCACAAATTAACTAGCCACGGAGGATACAACAGTGTCTTAATCTGTTTCTGTTGCTTATAAGAAAATACATGGAACTGGGTAGTTTATAAAGAAAACAAAATTTATTGCTTACAATTTCTGAGGCTGAGAAGTCCAAAGTCCAAGGAACACAGCTGACGAAGATCGTGGTGGTGGTGATGGTGATAGCAGGGTATCATATTGTGAAAATGGTGGATCAGAGAGAGAGAGAGACTCTCACGTGCTCTCCTTTTAAAGCCCTCAGAACCAAGACCCTGACCACCATTATTAATCTGTTCACTACGGCATGGTCCTAGAATCTAACCACCTCGTCAAGGCCCCTCCTTTTAATTACCATAATAGGATTTCCCACCCTCTTAACAGTGACAGTGAGGATCCAGGCTCCAACACATTAAACTTTGGGGGGACACAATTCAATACACTACAAACAGGGAACAAAGCTCTTGTGCCCCCATGGAGCTTAAATTGGATAGACATAGAGAAACAAACAAATAATATGTCAGATGGAGATAAGTGCTATGGTAAAAATTAAGCAGGGAAGGGGAGAGGTACCACTGGGGTAGAGGGGGAGGAATTATCATTTCACTCAGTCAGAGAGGGCCTCTGATAGCATGACATTTGGATATAATAACTCTAAAGGAGACCGAGGAGGGAGCCTCCATGTGGGGTAAAGTGTTCCAGGTAGAGAGACCAGAGCACTAGACTGTGTTTCTTGATTTGCAGAAAAATTATTGGTTGTGCTTAGGAGTTTTTAAACAAAACTGGGAAAATTTTATTTATATAAGTCAAGGGGAGATTGAGGTTTGGTGGAAATGATGCAATTTTCATTTTCCATGGAATAGTTGAATTTTGGACATTGTTTTTATTTAAATAAGATAGAAAGAGGATATTCTATGAGCAAAGAATGTAATGGTCAAGTTAAATGAAATGTGTGCACGTGTATGTATGTGTGTGTATATCTGCTTGACTGGAGCAAAAAGGCAGGGGTGTCATATAATGACAAATGAGAAAAATGAGGTGAAACGATTGGTGGAGGATGTTGAATAAGAATATATTGATATTTATCAAGAGCTTTTTCATGATAGGCACTGTGTTGGTGCTTTATATGTATTACCTCAATTTGAAAAATAGTAATGGCTGGCCGATTAGCTCATTTGGTTGGAGCACGGCCTTATAACACCAAGGTCTTGGGTTTGGATCCCTGTACTGGCCAGCCCCCACTACCCCCATAGTAGTTATTATTATTGCCACCCCCAATTTACAGATGAGAAAACTGAGCATTAGATTAAGTTACTTACCAGGGCTAGCCTGTTAGCTCAGTTGGTTAGAGTGCGGTGTTGCAACACCAAGGTTGAGGGTTTGGATCCCCCTACTAGCCAGCTGCCAAAAAAAGATATATAAATAAACAGCAAATAGATTGTTACTTACCCAAGGTCACATAGCTAGTATGGCAGAGCCATTATTTAAATCCAGTCTCTACTTTTGATTCTGTTAGGAAAAATCACCCAAAACTTCAGAATATGCAAGGACGGGTGTACTTTTTATGTTGTAAAGCAGGCCCACCTTGCTTGAGGATTTTCAGATTTTCTAGGAGTATGTACCTTTGTGTGACTTCCTATTTACTAGTTTTTTGGGGGGGGTTCGTTATTTATTTACGACAAATATTCCACATCCATGATTCTCTCCTCTCAGATGTTCTTTGAGACAGTGCTGTCAGCCTTGTCCAATTGGAGAATGGAGTCGTCTGACTCACGCATCCTGCGAATGGCCTGTAAATAGCATACACAGGTTTTAAAACTGGCTGTTAAACATGCCAGTGACCTTGTCAAC